GCTGTGTTTCCGGGTGGGAGAGTTCCTTCCTTCGGGACCAGGACCTCCAGGCCTGAGGAACATGGGGTTGCTGGGACAGGAACCAAAAATGCTGCAAGTGGGTCACTAGGAGTAATAGTGAGTGGTGCCAATGCAGCTTCCACCCCTTGGTTGCTGGATAGATGAATTCTGGCTATTGGAGACACAGCACCATATATTGGCCGCTGGTTTAGAGCATATACAGCTTCCTGGAGAACATTGCCCCAGTCCCGGAAGTTGTTGCCACCTAGTTGGTGCCGTAATTGTGTCTTTAGGAGCCCATTCCATCATTCTATCAAGCCAGCAGCTTCAGGATGATGAGGAACATGATACCGTCAGTGGATTCCATGGGAATGGGCCCATCGCCGCACTGCATTTGCTGTGAAGTGAGTTCCTTGATCTGAAGCAATGCTAGTGGGATGCCATGCCGGTGGATGAGGCATTCTGTAAGTCCACGAATAATAGTTTTGGTAGAAAGTCTCTTTGACAGTATTAACAACTGTTTTAACTTGCTAATTTTTGAGACCCATTGATGTAGGGGCCCAGTTTTTCTTTAGATAGTTAGGCCCCATCTGTCCTGTCTATCCATTGTCTTATTTACCTAATCACTCTACATATATTTACAAAACACATACCTAGAGAAAGCTTCCTATTAGTTTCATACAAGGTCTTAAAAAAATTGTGGTAAAACGAAATGAAAAGATAATGAAACTTATCCACAAACTTTTTGAAGGCCCCTTATATATGAAGGAAGCTGCATTTTACACACTACAGATTCTAGTTAGACACTAATTATTGACTTCAGTGCTGTGCCTTCCGAGAGGGCAGATTTGGAACTGTGGCAGAGCACAATTGATGCGTCCTAGGAGCACATCCAGGGCCACTCCGAGAGAATCAACCGCATGGCAGTGAGTTTGAGGGTTTTTTTTTTTAAGATCACACAATCCCTGGGGACAGTCATGAAAAAAATCATGCTTAAAAGAGAATTCATAGCAACCAACTCTAAAAATTCCCAGATGATAAATATTGCTTTAGAAAAGTGTAGGCCATACTCTATAATACAATTCAATATAAAAATTTAACAAGTTACGTATAGACTAGCTATTGCATTACATTTTTGAGTGACGTGGCTGGGACATACGTGTTTTAAGACAGACTCGCTTTGCCTTCTAGACGTGCACAGTTCACTTAGGAAGAGGTATACTGTATAACAAAGTAATGCTTTTAAGGTGAATCATCATCTCCATTTCCCCCCTATTAGATCTGAGCACTCCCTAATGAAGCATTTACTTGAGATAAGCTATATGGGCCCTAAATGAAGTTATGCCTCTTATGTAGTTCCTGGAAGAAATTCCTGATGGATAGGTTAGATTATAAAGACGATGTCATCTAAAACCAGCATTACAAAAGTTTCTCTATATTAAGGTTTTATATGTATATGTATATATGCTATTATATGAAGGCCACATATAAGAAATTCTAATCTTAAGTGTTTCACCTTAATTTTTAAATGGTATGGATTTTAAGAACTTCGTATTCCTGTTACAAAAACTCTTTATAATAAGCTTTATTGTCCTTAACAATCAATACCTTAAATAACATACCTGTGCCATCCGGAGCTCTGCTAGTAATTCTGTAAAACTCTGGTTTCTGATGGGCTCTGAGTCTTCAACTACTCGAGACAGGAAATGACTTTTATGCACTTGTTCTCTGATTTATTTTGAAGAAAAAAATGTTTTAACCAGATGATCTCTAAGAATAAAATATTCAATTCTTGAAAACCAAGAAAGCTAACACGCAATAAAGAAGCCTGATGGTACTGTGGGCTTGGGGGTTGGCTGCTCACCACAGGGTTGTAAGTTTCAACTCATCAGCTGCTCATACGGAGAAAGAGGAGCCTATCTGCTCCTATCGAGGCTAACAGGCCCAGGAACTCGGTCCTATTGACTCGATGGCAGCAGTTGTGTGGGGGTGGGGGGTGGGAGTGAGGATGGAGGTAGAGGCACATTAGTCATTTATATATGAGTTGTTGAAAAGAAAAACTTTATCTAATCTAAAACCCTGGACATGTAATGGTTACATCTCCCGTTTCAGTTGAAATCAAAGTGACAGGGAAATACAGGTGGATTTAGTCTCTGCTGTGTCCTCTCTGACCAGGGATGTGAAGAGTCTTGCTATCATGCAGAATGCATGGGAACATGGATGACGGCAGACGCAGTTAGATGAAAATTTAACACCTTGTCATTTGAGCTCCTTTGTGACCCATTTTAAATTTGTTCTAGTTTTTAAATAGTTTCTGTGTTCTTTTCACTGAGATTTTTCACTGTTTTACATTGTTGTTGTTAGTTTCTTGCTGTTTTAATATTTTTCTGGATATGAAATCCAGCATAGGTAAATCTATATAGACAGAAACTGATTAATGGCTCCTTGGGGGTAAGACAGGGGAGGCTGGAGGGAATAGTGAGCTAATAACAATGAAAATAAAGAGAAGAAAATATTGTAAAACTGATTGTGGTGATGATTGTAAAAGTCTTCTTAATATAATTGAACTACTGAATTCAATTCAAGTACTGTACGATTTAAGGATTATAAGCCACTAAAACGGCTTGGAAATGAAAGGAAAACAGGGTAACAGTCTCAGAAACACACAGAGGCAGCTCGACCCGGTCCTATAGGAGCTCTATGAGTGGGACCTGACTTGATGGCAGTAAGTTTGCTGTTGTTTGAGAAAGACTGAAATACTGAAAGTACAAGGGGCTTCAAAAAGTTCATGGAAACACAGCTTTCCTCTATCTCTTTGGGGCTTCCTTCCCCCTACTATCAGGACCTCAATTCTACCTTACAAATCGGATTAGACCAGAGCATGCATACTGCTACAGATAAGAGCCCCAACATAGGGGATCCAGGATAGACAAGCCCCTCAGGGCCAACAAGGAGAGTAGAGATACCAGGAGGATTAGGGGAGCGTGGGGGGAGAAAAGGGGAATCGATCACAAGGATGAACCTATAACCCCCTCCCAGGGGGACAAATAAAAGAAAAGAGGGTGAGGGGCGATGGAGGACAATGTAAGATATGAAAATAATAATCTATAACTTATCAAGGGTTCATGAGGGATGGCAGGCGGGGGAGGAAGGTGGAAGAAATGGGGAGCTGATATCAGGGGCTCAAGTGGGAAGAGAATGCTTTGAAAATGATGAGGGCAGCATATGTGCAAATGTGCTTGACACACTGGATGAATGTATGGATTGTGATAAGAGATGTAAGAGCCCCCAGTAAAAGTATTAAAAAAAAAAGTTCATGGAAAAATGGAATTTCTAGATAATGGAATTTTTCTATGAACTTTTTGAAGCAATTACATACTTTAAAGAGAGTATTTATGTTGCAGCTAAAAAGAATTAAAAACCTAAGAAAAGAATGTATTGGTGAATGTAATAGCTTATCTTTTTTTGTAATATAAAAATACTTCCTCCCTTTTCTCAGAGGAAAAAAATAATGTCCTTGAAAGATTTAACTCTTGTCACATGATCCTGACCCACCCTCTCTTTCTTCTCCTGTCTTTCTTTGTTTGTTTGGGGGTACAAACCCTCTCCCCTCCCCACCACAAAGAAACAAACAAACAAAAACCCAAAGTTCTCTGGTCTAGCTGGATTTGTAAGGTAGAATTGGATATACACTGGTACAGGTAAGAGCTGGAAACACAGGGAATCCAGGACAGATATCCCTTCAGAACCAGTGGTGAGAGTGGCGATACCAGAGGGTGGGGGGGAAGGTGGGGTAGAAAGAGGGAACTAGTTACAAGGATCTACATATAACCTCCTCCCTGGGAGACAGACAACGGAAAAGTAGGTGATGGGAGATGTCGGACAGTGTAAGACAAGACAAAATAATAATAATTTATAAATTATCAAGGGTTCATGAAGAAGGTGGGGTGCGGAGAGGGAGGGGAAAAATGAGGAGCTGATACCAAGGGCTCAAGTAGAAAGAAAATGTTTTGAGAATGATGACGGCAACAAATGCACAAATGTGCTTGACACAACGGATGTAAGTATGGGTCATGATAAGAGTTGTACGAGCACCCCCAAATAAATAAATAGAAAACAAAACAACAACAAGACCCCCCAAAGTCACCGACCCTGAGCTGATTTCGACTTGCCGCGGCCCTGTAGGACAGAGCGGAATGGCCCCTGCGGGTTTCTGGGAAGATCACTCTTTCCAGGAGTAGAAAGCCTCATCTTTCTCTGGAGGATTGGCTGGTGCTTTGACTGTGCAGTTAGTAGCCCACATGCACATTTTGAAGCCAACGAGTAACCCAAATGGTTTATTATTTAGACATTCTTGTTGTTAAGTGACCCCCTGTGCCAGAGAGGAACTGCCTCACAGGGTTGCCCAAACTGTAGTCTTCGGGGCACGGATTGCCAGCTCTGTCTTTCTCTCATGGAGCTGCTGCCGGGTTCGAACTGTTAACCCTTCAGATAGCAGCTGAGAGCAAACCCACTGTGCCACAGAGATATTGCTCAAGGTTGGGGGTCCCATGTAAGATCATCTAATCCCAATTGTATTAAAAAATGTATTTCTGTAATTGTTAAACGTTCATTTCCTCAGAAGCATTAAAAAGCCCACTGTGCGTAAGAGAGAGACTTTGAGAGTCTGAGACTATGACCCTTAATCACCCTTTGGCCTGGGAATGAACTCACCCCCACGGCTCAATTTCAGCCAGGTAGATAAGGCAAGCAAAAACACTAGGGAGGTGTGAACATCTTAGAATAAATGAACATTTGAGATCAAAAGGGAAGCACTTACACAAGGACAAAGTTCAGAAAATTTAGAAAGGAGGAGGAATGGAAACCAGAAATACAGGACGGAAGTGGGATAGGTGATGTGGGGATTGCACATAATGGCTGGAAACAAAATATGTGTGAACAGTTGAATGTAAAACTGGTCTGCTCTATAACCCTTCACTCAATTCACAATAACAAGGTTTTGGGTTGTTTTTTGTCAGTCCATTTGGAGATTGAAATTTGGACCCTAGAATAGCTGAGCCAAGCAGCAGAAGATGTGACATCTGAAAATATTTTATGGAAGTGACGGGAAAGAAGGCAGATGCTCATGCAGCAGAAATGTGCCAATGATCACGTATGGCCTGTGTGTGTGTGTGTGTGGGGGGGGGGGCAGCACCTAGCAAGATAAAGGGGCTTTTCCCCCTTAATTTTGTACCAGTGTGCACAAAGATGCCGTCAGCTCTCCCTGTTGGCTGTGTCTGCTACAGGGTGTGCCTTTTTTTATTTTGCAAGAAAGATCAGTCTGGGTTAGTGGCAGTCCAGCCTCTGTGCTCCCAGATAATTGAGCAAACAACGAAACAAAGTATGTGAATGAATAGGATACCACCCAGAGTCCAAGAAGCTTTTCCTGCTAGCAGGCCTACCTATCAGGGATTGGGCGTTTATGTGCAGTGATGCACGCTTAGTCAGTTTCTAGAAGGTATAGTGCCCTCGTCTGTCCGTGTTTGTAAGCTCTGTTTCTCCACTCTACTTACTATGTTAACCATTTGAAAACATCTTTGAAATATGAGGCATGATCCTTAGTAGTTCTGCTGCTGCAGCAGCGAGAGCTGCTGAGAACACACCACCGGCTGTCATGTCTCTGGAGACATGTTCTCAGCCTAACAGGAGTGCTTGGAACAGGAGTGCTTGGACTTCGTAGCTCAGGAAGACATCCTTCGGCTCCTTCATCATATCTCAGCCCATGACTGACTGTCTCAGTGCACAAAATGTTGCCCTTGCCTTAAGTGGGGGCCAATCCCATTAGCCTTTTGTTCTCTAAACCTTCCTCCTAGGAGCAGAAAGAAGCTAGCCTCTACCACCTGAGACCACACTGTCGCCTAGCTCTCCCCTTCTGCTCTTGCTCTCCTGCTCCTGAGAACAGTCGTGCAGTTATTCTCGTCCACAAGGATCCTTCTCTCAGGCCTACTTTGACAGACCCTGATCTAGGACAAGAAGTGATGTTGTAGAATACTCCTTTTAAATAATGATAATTATATATAGTTACTTAGGACATGGTTAAACATCCCCGGTTTAATGTTAGATCAGGAAGAACACTATACATTCAGTTTTATGAAAATGATGTCAAACTTAAATATGAATCTGCCAAAAATTATTAAAGCATGTATCAGTCACATAATACCAAGAGAAAAATTGACTGGATATTAAAAATATAAGCTGTAAGATTATAGCAGAGTAACAATGTTTTAAATTCAAAGTAAAAGTAAACATGTTATTGACAGAACAATAAAATGCTTAGAATGATTTTAAATATATTTGATTTTAGTCATCTAAGGACTTACTTTAAGGATGCTAGCTCACTCAATAAACTCTGGTTTTCCTTAAATAGTCGCTCCTCATTTTTCTTGTTTTGTTCTTGGAGATCTTTCACTTGATTATACAATCGCTCATTTTCCTATTTAAAAATAGGAATGACATTTTTTAGTTAGAAATCAGCAGTATTTATATCTCAAAAGACGTAAGATCTATACACATTTTAAAAAATTGTATAAATTCTTTCAGTGTTTCAGCAAAGAAAGTCTTTTCAATCACATTAAATTTTCTTATGAGAAAACTTGAAATCTAGGAATGATACTTGGCAAAATGTTTCAAAAAAACCCCAAACCAACCCTGTAAGAATTCCCAAAGCAAGGCCCTAATGTCAGTACAATGGACTACATTGCTCAGGAGTAAAGAGGTGATCCTTTGTGGGGACAACCACGTCCAGACTGTGTAGCACGGAGTAGAGAGGTCTGATTGTGCAGCATGCCTTGGGGAAACCATCTGCACACTGTTTCTGGGTGTCTAGCTTGAGAGAGAAAAATTATGGCAGGAGGGAAATTCTCGAAGTCTGGTTTCCTGCGACGAGGCAGTTAGATTTAACAGCAATGAATGTCCGTGTCTGTTTCTGAAACCGAGGGAAAGCAGGGGGTTATGGATCCAGAGTAAAGCAGAAAGAACAGATCCCATGTGCCACAAGGCTTTCGCTAAAGAAGACTAACAGTTCAGATCAGAGGGTATCTCTCTAATTACTCCTAACATGATTTTCTCTGTTAATTTGTAAAATGGAGTGGTGGTTATTTAAATAATAACCTTTATTCTAAAAGAAGTTTTCTAACGAGCTAGATCGTGTGCTACTTATTCTGGCTTATCAACCTCATTACGGCACTCTAGTGGCTCAGCGGGTAAGGCATTACTTACCTGCTAACTACCAGGTCTGAGGTTCAAACCCACCAGCCGCTACGCAGGAGGAAAATGCAGCCCTCTGTTCCTATAAAGACTTACAGTTCTGAAATTCCTATCTATGTAGGGCTGGGCTGCTATCTGCATGGTTGGCAGCTCGAAACTACCAGCAGGTCTGCAGGAGAAAAACAGCTTTCTACTCCTGTAAACAATTACCGTTTCAGAAACCCACAAGGGGTTGCTGTGAGTCAGCAGTGACTCGATGGCAGTGAGTCTGGTTTGGTTTCTCCACCTGAACTGGCAGTACTGGCAGTGGGTTGGTTTTGGTATTTGGTATTCAAAACAAAGAGCAGGCCTTTATGTGTCAGCATTGACTCAGTAACAGAGGTCGAGTGAGGGCAATCTAGTCAGCAAGTCTTGTAGTTCTACTTCACTTATAGCAACCGTCAGAGCCGCTGATGTGACAATGTTTTCCCTGGATGTCACTGGCTGGCAATATTTGTTACTAACAGACTCAATGCTAAGGTTATGGTGTAGAGATAGAAAGAGAAGGGAAGGGAAAGAAGAAGCAAGACAGCGAGGGAAGGGAGCTATGATGAAGTCTCAAGCGGGAGACCACTAACCCTTCCCTGGCTGACTGCTTGCGCAGTACCACGGCGACTCATAACACATTACAAATGTCTGTCTTCTGTAGGACATACACAATTCAATTTTGTTTGCACCTCCAAGGCACTCGCAATTGATTTCAGATTCATAGTTCTGAATGTAATATTAAAAAGCACCTTCGAGAGGTAGGACGGTTTCTAAGGGACATGGCTATTAAAAAGAACAGGTCATCCTCACGGAGGAGTTACTGAGGGCGCCATACTTGCTAAGAGGCTGGTTTGCCCTGTGTTACTTTCATTTCACAGCTTCCTAAAGAGGACAGCACTGTAATTGATACTCACATCTCACAGATAAACTTGGAGGGAAAAAGTGATTTGCCCCAAGCCGCAAAGCAAGTGATGGAGCTAAGACTCCAAGGTAGAATCTTTGTTTTCAGAATCCATGCTGCTCTCAACAACTGCAGTTCTGTCTATGAGCCATGTGCAGACTCGTTAAACTATTAAATCCTCTTATTGCCAGAATTCCCACTTCCTATATTAAAATATTTTAATCTGTCTCATTTTTATAATCAAAAGATCTCATGGACAAGCTCACAATGCAGTGAGAAATTCACACACCTGTTGATACCCTTGAAGGAGTGTCTCTTGTTCTTGTATTTCTTTTTGGATCTGCTTCAATTTTTCTTCAGTGACAGGATCAGTTGTTTCCCCTAAATGTAACCACCTTTGTTTTTTGTTTGCTTCTTCAAAGCTACTTAGCTTGGAGAAAATTAAGAAATGGTTTTATTTGGGAAAGGATATGAAGATGAGAGAAATATTAGAAAACTCAAGGGGTAGAGACCTAACAGTCTTATTTAATACTAGCCACACTATAAATTAATGAAACCCACTACAGTTAAACAGTATAGTGATGTTTGGGACTGATGAGTAATGTGGCATTGTAGGACACCTTCCCGACCGGATTGCTGAAGACAAAATGGGTACATAAGCAAATGTGGTGAAGAAAGCTGATGGTGCCCGGCTATTAGAAGATATAGTGTTTGGGGTCTTAAAGGCTTGTAGGTAAACAAGTGGCTAGCTAGCAGGGAAGCAACAAAGCCCACATGGAAGAAGCACAACCAGCCTGTGTGATCATGAGGTGTCGACAGGAATCTGTATCAGAAGTTCAAAAACAAGCAACCAAATCGATGTGAAGGGGCGTGGATGTAGTGGAGACCCAAAACCCAGCTGTAGGATAATTGGACAGTCTCTCTCAGAAGGGCCACACGGAAGGGATGATAAATCCAGGGTGCAGTATAGCATTGATGAAACACATAACTGTCCTCTACTTCTTTAATATTTCCTCCCCTTATTATTGTGGTTTTGTTTTATCTCATTAATCTTGTTAGGCTTGTCATGTGTATAATTAAGATGGTTTGATACATGAAAGCCAAGATAGATTACCCTTCAGAAACAGCAACAGGAGTAATGGTTCCCTGAGGGTACAGGAAGAGAGGAGGAGGGAGAGCTGATAGCATTGATGACTGTATAACCCCACTTGAGGGGAGCAAACAACAGAAGTTTACGTGAATGGATATATTGGCTGGTGTACGATATGGCAATAAATATAATGTAATAAGGGTTCCTGAGAGGTAGGGAGGGGGTAAAGGGGAACTGATATCAAGCAGTTCAAGAAGAAAGAAAATGTTTTGAAACTGATTGTGGTAGCAATTGCACAATACTGCTAGATGTGATTGAACTATGGAATGTTATGATATCTGTAAGAACACTCAATAAAATGATTAATAAAAAAAGAAGCAAGAAAAAATACTGCTGTGTCATTCTGAGTCTAGACCTCCCACCACAATTCTTGTGAAGTTTCGTTTTCTTTGGAGGTCACAATGAACTAAGAGACTTGTTTTAAAAAGGGCTGCTAATGAATAAAACCATCACAAGAAGCAGAAATAAACTTGTATTCTGCCCCTGGGAAGAGCAGTGGGAGGTGGGGTGGCTTCAATTCAGGCCCTCCAGCCAGGTGGCACTCTCAGAACCACATGCATATTTTACACAGCAAAAATGTCAAGGCAGACTCCTCTGGGAACAGAAGGTAACAATGACATTAGCAGGGAGGACAGTCTTTCTGAATCAATCAAAGAACAAAAAGAACAGCATGTCAGTACCTTTGCTTGGAGAATATAATTGTCTTGATTTAGTCTGAAGAGCTCTTTGTCTTGCTGTCTCTTTAGGTCTTCCATCTTATTTTCCAACTCTCTCTCTTTGTCTGAGAATGTGACTTTAATTTGCTCAATTAAGGCTTGTGCACCCCTCCATTTTTCCTCTGCTTCCTGAACTCTCTTAAACAGAAATAATTCTGTCTTCTTGTTTCCACCAGAAGAATCCTTTTAAGGAAAGGCATTATCTCATCATGGGAGATTCACTTATCACGTTCAAACACAGGCCGCTAGACAGACAGACAGACAGACACACACACACACACACACACACACAATGTAGTTAAGAATGTTCTACTTAGAAGTGAAAAAAAGAAAATGTTCCTAAGAGTGACTAGACAATCACTCTTGAGGAAAGAGAACTGTCACATATTTGTTATATTTCATTTAAATATTATTTTGGAACATACAAAAATTTTGAGTATTAATTTAGAACACCTACATTTTGAAACTGAATACAGGAATTAATTTGTGTAGTATCTTCAGACTTCTTAGGAGTAGCCAGACAACTTTCAGTTTGGGGAGCTGGTGTACCCAAAGCAGCAGGCTTGAGGACCTTTGTTCCAGATAAGATTTCTAAATATTGAAAACAATGGATAAAAGCACACCATGAATGCAAACAAAGCTGAATGTCTATTCAGCAATTAAATAACAATAAGTATGAATACCATGGGAACACGGAGCTAGAGTGAAGACCTACTACTATCAGTTTGCTGCATAACACAAAGGGTGCTTCTTTCACTGTGCTAACCGACAAGAGTATTTCCACTCATCAACATTCTAGTCAATTTGACCAGAGACGCAAGTCAAAAGACAAATGGAACTAAATAAATGTAAGGAGAATGTGCTTTGGAATAACTTCAGGCTTTATTTCTTTAGGTATATCACTATTTCTTTAAGTGTATGTTCAGAGCAATCATATATAAGCACTTTTAAAGAATTAATCAAAAATAGTTGAAACTTTCCAAAGCATTTTAGCTCAGATTCACTGTGTTTTCAAAGTACAATTCTCCCCTTCATCCCTGGAGTTCTTTTCACTGTTGTTTTTTTCCTGGGATGGGCAGGGAGAGGCTTTCCTTACAGAGCTGTCAGCATATTGAATGGGTCTAACTATAAATATACTTTATATAAATTTTTGATATAAATACAATTTTAAAAGCCATTTCTTAACAGATCCATAGGAAATTGTTTGAGTATATGAAGGCAGTAGTAACCTTTCCAATGCTGCAGATTCATTACTGTAGTCAATGCATGGAGTGTGATCTGCTTACCGATGGTTCTCCTAAGAGCTGGCAGCAGACTGTTCAGTTGTTCCCATTCAGAGATACAGTCTGCCAATATTTTTATACCAGTATGACCTCTTCCTAGAGTCTTAATTTTGATTTCTCTGTGGGCTGAAGTACTTCCTAATACTTATTTTTCAATATGGTACCTGGACAGTATCAAAACTCGATGAAGAATATACACTTACCCCTTTTCCTAGCTTGATTTGAGGTGGGAGTGGATCTTATGTTTTTGCTCTTCGTAATGTCCTTTGAAGGTTTTTTTTCAAAAGTTGAAAATGTTTTGAATGGTGAATTGGGTTTGCCATAGCCAGAGCTCCTAACTGAGGCATACAATCCACTCTGGGGTTTTCTTTTAAATAACGGAGGTGCACTTCTAGCCTTCTTGTAGGATACTTCTTTACCAATGACAACCCCTTCTCCAAAAGTGAGTTGAGATCTCAATGCCTGTGTACAACAAGGAAGAACACTTTAGTATTATTTAAGTGAAGATCAACTACCGGGGTGACATTAAATAATGCATTACACATCCTAAAAGAAAACTACTACGATATGGTTGTTTATTTCAGTGGAACTGCAGTATTTTGAAGCATACCTTCAAAATCAGCCTTGCCACAAAGCAAAGGAAGCAAAATAACAAAATAAGCTTGCCAGAAAACAAGAATGGATACTTACTGGAATGAACATATTTTAATATGACGTTACATATTATTTTTCCTCTTCAGACTTTTCAAGATGTATAAAACATTTCATCAATGTCCTGCCTTACTCCATTAAAAAAAACACACAACATATTACCCTGCCTGATCCTACTAAGAAACTGTACATGATTGTGGTAGTTACAAAATCTGGTATCAATTTGAGAGGATTACCAGTGAAAGGGTGGAGTCTGGCCTGTCAATCAGGATATAACCAATGAGGCCCTGGTGTGGGCATGGCCTTCTCCTGAGAATTCTGGGAGCTCCTGTATTTTCCTCATTGGAGGTGGTAGAGACTCTCTTTCTCTATGCTCACTCCCATGGAGATGATCTACTGACAAGACACATAACACTACGCTGATAGACCCCGTCGTCTGGAAACTGGAGGAGCCACGTGGACACCCCTGCCAGTGCTGAGAAGCTTACAACGCCCCTAGGTCTAAAGACTTTCTACCCACTGGCCTGTGATCGTCCTGCATTTGGCGTCATCACACGTGTTTCATGAGTCTGAAGAGGACTTTATAGATTGGATTCAGACATATGGGCTAATAAGTGGACTTACGGGCTTGGACTAGACTGGGATGCTTTCTTAATGTACAATTGCCCTTTATATACAACTCTCTCTTACACACTTTTGAGTTTCTATGAATTTGTTTCTCTACTCTACTTGGACTAACACAATGACTTGTGGTAAACATAATTCAAAGCTTCAGAATACATATAAGTGGAGTACTAGGGTTATCAAAACCATAAACTACAACAGATCAAGAAGAAAAAGAAACAGTGAAAATAAGTTTCTTCATACTTGCTAACAGCATTCATAATAAGATGCCATCTCACTTTTGTGGACGAATGAAAGATTGAACAATAAGCTCTACAATGATGAGTAGACTTTATTTTCCTATATTGTTTAAGTTCTAGTCTATGCTTAGCTAATGCTACAGTGGTACTCTGAGATTTGGGACATGCGGGTGTCGTAACACATGTTGCTCGTGTGCATCCAGGCGATCTACTGCAGAGGCTAGTTTCTCGTCAATCTCACTAGCTTAATGGGAATACAGCTATTATAATACTTCTGTATGTATTTCATGGTAATTCAGTACATCCAATCAAGTTAGACTGTAAATACTTACTTTATCAATTTTGTCATCCTGAGGTAATAAGGATAGGTCAACTGAGAGTTTTTTCTTCACAATATCAAGGTACATTTTATCTGTGTGTTCTTCCACAGCAGTTACTCTTGAATCACTACTTTCTAAAACTTCATCTGCGGTCTTTTGTAAAACCACATTCTCATCCCTCTTTTCAAAAAATTTGTTCACCTGGTGTGGCTCTTGAGACTTAAGATTTGAGCTTGTCTTAAGGAAAGGGCTAACAAATTCAGTCCCTTTATTATCAGCCAGTTGCTTGGTGCTATAAAATAAAGCAGAACACAGAGAATGAATGCTATGTAATGTGACTCCCTGAAAGATCAGTCTTTTCAACATATTCCTACAATTCAAATTAAGCTATTAATGTTAAATATATTAGTTACAATTCTGAATAACAAGGAATACTAAAAAACAAAACAAACAAACAAAACAACCCCCAAACCCACACTGCTATCAAATCAATTCTGACTCATATCAACCCTATAGGGTAGGGCAGGGTAGAACTGCCTCTTTAGGTTTTCAAGTCTGTAACTCTTTATGGGAGTAGAAAGCCTCGTCTTTCTCCCATGGAGCTGCTGGTGGTTTCAGTATGTAGCTACCACTATACTACCAGGGCTCCAAAGCATAGCAAATATACATATATATAATTATTATTATTTTTCATACAAAAGCATCCTCAGCTTGCTTATTTTTTGTTTGTTTCGGTTCTTTTATTTTTATTCTTTTAATTTTATATAATTTTATTACACTGCATTCAAATTATTAGAAATTTAAAATTATTATGAGAACTGAGAACTGAGTGTACTGTATCACACCATGGTTTAAAATTTCTAATAATTTGAAAGCAACATAAATTATATAATGGCTCTCAAAAACACTAAAAAATACTTTTAAAAAAGTGAAAAAAAATCTGAGAATGCTTTTGTATAAAAAATAATTAAGTCAACTTAATTTTTTCACCAAGTTTCTTACGAAGTTAACATGTGTCTGAGCCAGGAAAAACCGCTCCGCGTTGCTGAGAGAAACTAAAGCAGCAATCACAATCTCTGCCGGGGAGGCAGTGCCGTCGTGCCGATTCTGATGCACACTGACCTACCTGTAGAACTGCTTCCTAGGGTTCAAGAGGCTGTTGATCTTTACAGGAACAAACAGATCCACCTTTCTCCAGAGGAGCAGAGGATAGATTTGAACCAAAGAATTTGAGCTTAGCAGCCCAGTGCTTACAGTGCCACCAGGGCTCCATTATTGAGGCTCAGGTGACAAAAATTAAATAGCATAAAAGTCTTCACAGTATATACTGCTGTTGTTACAAAAGGCTGTCAAGTCGATTCCAACTCATAGTGAGTCCAATAGAACAGACATCGCCCGGTCCTGTACCAGCCTCACAATGTCACTTTCAGACCGCTCAACATTGAAAACACAGAAACGACTTCGAAGGAAACATTCGTTTCCCTATTATAACTAGGTGGATGAGGCGTGAAACCTTGAAACTGTGTGTTGATGAAAGAGATGCCTGAATCCCTAAATAACTGTGTGGAGCAGAGCCCCACTCCTGATGTCCCATACATGATATCAATGGAAACACACAGTTGCATACTTGACAGTGTTAGGCTACTCTGATTTCAAGGACTATCTATAACAGAGGCTAGGATTACTTATCCTCCAACTTTCTGAAGTTCATACAATGGTTAGTTCTATAATTGTGCTATGTGTTTAGTAGAAATATCTTTGTTTTCAGTTTCATGCCAATGAATAATTCTGTTTTAAAACTCACTTTACTATAATGGTTTACTATTGCAGCATCCCAAGTGCTGAGTGTAAAACTGATGATCTGCTATGTAAAATTTCACCTAATTGAGAATAAAAACATTTTTTAAAGTTCTAGATAGTACTGCAAGGCAGGGGTGACATACTAGATTTAGTATTCAAGAGATAGGAACTCCACTTCGCCTCTGCTTCCCACTTAGCACATATGCAGAAACAAGGTCAAGAAACCCGTCAGTGGATTTACATGATGAGGATGTCAAAGAAGAGGCTCAGAACATGTTTGTCGAAAAGATAAATGAACAAACGAATACATGGATGGGCGGTAGGCTATTTTACATAAATATTTCATGTGGATCCAAGATTTGAAAAGAAAAGAGGTTAAGCACCTGGGTTGGTTGTGTTCCACAGTTATAGCTGTCAGATCTCAGGCAGTTTTTTTTTGTTTTTTTTTTAACATTTTATTAGGGGCTCATACAACTGTTATCCCAATCCATACACACATCAATTGTGTAAAGCGCATTTGTACATCGTTTCTCAAGACATTTTCTCTCCATTTAAACCCCCGACATTAGGTCCTCATTTTTCCCCTCCCTCCCCGCTCCCCCCTCCCGCATGAGCCCTTGATAGTTTATAAATGGGTATTTTGTCATTTCTTGCCCTGTTCGACGTCTCCCTTCAACCACTTTTCGGTTGTCTGTCCCCCAGGGAGGAGGTCACACACAGTTCCATGTAATCGGTTCCCTCTTTCCTACCCATTCTCCCTTTACCCTCCCTGTTTTGCCACTCACACCACTGGTCCTATAGGGCTCATCCATCCTGGATTCCCTGTATTTTCAGTTCCTATCTGTACCAGTGTACCTCCTCTGGTCTAGCCAGACTTGCAAGATCGAATTCGAGTCATGGTAGTGGGAGCGGGGAGGAAACATTTAGGAACTAGAGGAAAGTTGTATTTCTCATCATTGTTACATCGCACCCTGACTGGCTCATCTCCTCCTCTCGGGCAGTTTTTATTTAACCTCTGTAAGCCTCAGTTACTTTATAGGTGAAGCAGATTAAAAAAATCACATGGAGTTATATAACATTAAATGCGATGATGTATATAAAGAATGTTTACATAGACCAAATCATCCTAACATCTTCTAATGGTGAAACAAGAACAAATAAAAACTAAAGCAACAAAACAATCCACATAATACATTCTCCTAAACTCATACCTGGCAGATTGTAAATCAAAACCAGTGAGCCCAAAGGAATCTAGTCTGATAGGTTTCATCAGCTCTTCTACTGTGGGCAGATCTGAGAGGGAAAAGAAATGTGAAAGTCGTTACCCCAAATGCGTGAAGTACTTAATTAGCTCTAGGTGTCCCTAGGTAATGTGGTTAGCATTGTTAGTACATAAGCAGTGAACTCTTTTTCCCACTGTAAACTTGTACTAGGCAAAATTCAACCTTTTATTTGATAAATGTCTATCAAATATATATGCTTTTATGCATATATAACATAGGTATACATGCAGACATAGCAGTTTTAAAAAAGAATTTCAGTACTGTATTTTATGAAGATAACATACCATCATAATGTGTGGCATGGAACTATTATGAAAATCATGCAGGGAGAGGAGCCTGCCTGGTTGGCAAAAATATGTCTACATGTGCATATTATATGCATAAAATATGGTGTATGTGTCAAAAATGTGAAAACACTCAAATGGTTTCTTAAGTTGATCAAGGACTATTGAAGAAGAAGCTGAAATTTTGTCCCAAGTCTGGCTCTAACTTTATAGTTAAACCAATGATTCTTCAATTCATTTTCAACAAACCCTTTACATACTGGTTCAGAGAATGAGAAACAATCACCACAGTACATTCCATTTAAATTACACTACACTGAAAAGTGTTCAGAGTGTCTCAAATAATGCCAAATAATATATTAATAAACGTTTACCAGATTCAGTCGTAGAGATGTTTTTAGAGGACACATCATCATTGTCTTTCACTGAGCTCTTGAAATGTTCTATTGCTTTCCCCTCAACTCTTTGTTCATCTGTATCTCCCAAAGAATGGGTTACATGACGATAAGCCTGATGTAGGGCTTCGATGTCACTGGTGCTTTGTCCATAAGAAAGACCTGTTGAAATCAATGTCATCTCCAGGTAGAATTACACCACAAGTGTATGAGAAGTACTAAACCCTAATCGCGCACCCCGGCTCTGTTAGGAATAGTGCCCAATGGTAGGGCCGTGTTGCTGCTGTCTTCTGGTAGGTCCACTCCCACTTGCAGCAGGCACCAAGGACAGCGCAGAACTGCCCCAGAGGGTTTCCTAGGCTGTCGTCTTTACAGAAAGGATTGCCAGGTCTTTCCTCCCGGGCTGGTGTATTCAAACTGCCACTCTTGGTTAGCGATGAGCACTTAACCATTATGTCACCACGGGTCCTTACAGGTCAACAGCAACATTAGAAAGGCAGAGTTAAACACCACCAAGGTGATACATAGCTGGAGCCGACTGGCATACAATCGTAGTAGGCTCAATCACTTTTCTCAACAAGTTGAGTTGACAGTGTCTGTATGCTGATGTGGTTGGCACACTCCACCAGGAACCGTTTACTTTTTAATCAACCTCACTACATTGAATAAAACTACTCTTAAAATTCCCAAATTGATACATTCCTTCAAAGATTCTTTCTCTCCCTTAAAATCGCTACTCACTTTCTTTCTTTTTCTGCTTCCCAGTGACACCAAACACCTGAGAGCAGGATTTTCTTCAAAGGCAGTTCTCGCGTCCTGCTTGTGCTGCATGCAGAGCAGCTGCGCCTCTCTGGTACACTTGACCCTGTGCAACACCTTTTCCCAGGAATGGTTTCTGCTGCATCCCTCTTTCCCCTGTGCTTCCTCTCACTCTTACGGTATCGGTGTCATTTCAGCATCCCATCTTTAGTCCTCTAAGTCACCTTTTTTTTGGTCTGGCTGATTCATCAGATTCTTAGCTTCAACTATTACCTTTAAGCTGGTGACTTGTATCTTTATCTATGTCCGTCGTCCTTATCTCTTTTCTATCAAACTAAGAAATATTTCTATTGTGCTTTTAAGTAAGTTACATCTAACATGTCAGTGGTGATGAGAAAATTTCTTTTAAAAAAATTAATTGGAATTAATGCATATATCAAATCATTCCACAGTTCAGTCACGACCAGCAGAATTGTACATTTACTGCCACAATCAGTTTCCAAATATTGTTTTTCTATTTGGACCCCTTGACGTCATCACCCCTTCACCCTGCCACCACCTCTGTGCCCTCCTTCCTCCAAAACCCTTATTCCACTTGCTGACTATGGGTTCATCAGTTTTCACACACCAAAAACAATTACTGCAACTTCAAGAGGGTGACACCCAATTAATATGGCTCTTCTACCCAAATCGCTGTAACTCATTTGGTGGTGCTATGCAAACAGGTTGTGTGCATCACACTAATAGAGGAGACTGGTTAGTTTTCGTTACACCTCCCTAGCTATAAGGATGAGCCATCTGGGAAGCAGCAGAGAAGAGCGAATCCTGGAGGACCTTGGAAGAGTATATTCAAGATTTCTGTCTGAAGTGGCGGAAGCCGCCGAGACCAGTTGCATCACACACAGACTGTGGCATGGAGACTCAGAAGGGCAGCACCGAAGCTAGAGGGTACCTTCTCCTGAACTGAGACAATGGAACGGTGGAAGAGGCCCAGGGAGGCAAAGGCCAAGCAATGGACCCTGTGGTGGAGAGACTAGACCCGGAGAGAGACCTGGCTGAGTCGATTTTGAAGCATGTTTACCTGTTTCTGTCATTTCATTCTCAGTCATTTCTGGTAGGGCCTTTGGTTTACTTGCTGCTTTATCCTGTTCATCAAGGTTGACCTCGACAATGGAGTCCAATGAATCAAGGAGCACCACTGGAAGAAGATCGGGGGAAAATTAGGAATGGAGAGAAATTTGTGTGGTTCTTTTGCTCAATAATATTCTTTTAATCATATGCCATATATATAAAAGCAAAGGTAAATGTTTATATGCAATAGCATATAATTATGTATTAAGCATGATTTTCTTCTGTCCTACATACAAGACACAAGGTTACCATATACATACACATCTGTTTTGCTGTACACAGCTACGGTATATTTATATATGGAAGACAAAGGGCCTAAGGAAAAAACAAAACAAAATATAAACTTAACAAATGCAATAGGATGGATTCCGGAGGGGCAAAAAGAGCATATTTTTGTAAAAATCTGTGAATTTCAATTCCTTAGGGATAAGTAAAAATACGGTGATTTGTTCAGAAATATTTACATACAATTGCAAACAGATTTTTTTGTCAACTAAATATATGAATATATAATATTTACCATTAGCCAGCATGCCAGTTTTCTCTTCTTCCTAAATTGAAGGAAGAAAATAGTCATATGCTTTAATACTAAAATCAGGCTATAAACCAAACCCAACGTCACTGAACTGATTCCAACTCAGCATGCCCAGACTGGAGATCTCTACAGAAGCACCCAGCCTGTCTTTTCCCAGGAGCAGCTGGTGGTTTGGGGCACTGACCTGGTGGTTAGCAGCGCGATGCCTGCCTCCAGGGCCCCCTGTCTCATAAAACTAAAATGCAAATGGGTTTGATAATTTCAATTGTACGAACATTAGGAAACGTCCTTTCTAAGCTTCTCTTACCATTCTAGTTCACCAACAGTTTTCTAAAATCATAGCTCCTTATGTACCTAAATCACACACACACACATCAAAACAAGCATGGCCAGTTTCATCATATCACTGCCAATCGTTTTTCCTTTATTGTCCAAAATTAATGATCCCACATATATGGTACTCATCATTTCATCTATATTTTGAGAGAGAAAAGTCCGAAAAGGACAAGAACTTATCAAATGTTATATACTTGGCCAAATTATACCTCCAACAAACAGCTACAGTTGATATTCTTTGTCAGTAGGAAGGGTTGTCGCAGAATACACTTTCTAAATAGTATCACCTATATTTCCTACAAGGAACACGGGTGGTGCATGGCTAACACCGACTGAAAGGGGAGCTGTTCAAACAAGCAGCAGCTTGGTGCAAGAACAGACCCGGGGTCTGCGCCTGTCAAGGTGACAGCCTGGGAAATCCTCTCGTTAAACCCTGTGGTTTACAGAACAGCGCTACGCTCTCCTATAAAGCCATTGTGAGTGACAGCACACAACAGCAAGCATTTTCTACTACGACAGGCTTTGTATGATTCATCCACAATAACAGGTTTTAATCCTTCCTATTTTAATTTGTACCAAAAGTCTCATCTAGAAAGCCTCATCTTTCTCCCAGCGAGGACCTGGTAGGTTTGAACTACCTACCTTGTCCTTAGCAGCTCAATGTTTAACCCATTATGCCACCAGGGCTCCTATATTCTAACCAGAAAGTTCATTAAGATTCTAAAGGTACTCCTCAGATTACATTAAGCTTCAGGTGTTATTTTCAAGGTCACCTTCTTTCATCACTCACATTACAATGTATAGAAACAACAAAGAGCAAAGTATTGGGCAAATGTCAAAATAAAGGTATTTATTTATTCTTAGAGAGCTTTGCTTTCTGGTTAGAGGAGAGGTTGCTAAATTTATCTGGCCTACTGTTCCTTCTCAGCACCCCTGGCGATGAAAAATGTTTGTCCTACAGCCCATGCTCCTAGATAATGTGTAGCTATCTACCTTGGCGCTTCCCCTGAATAGTGTAAGAACCCCGCCAAGGAGGGACTATCACCCACTGGTCAACACTGACTCCACAGAGAGAGCCTATAGCTTCCCATATGTTCAAAACTCTTACTCCCAAACATGTAGTCCTCCAAAGACACCAGAGAAGATTAGCATGACAATGCACAAGTGTGCTATTAGCTACTATTATATAGCTTCAAGGATAAGCTCCGGCTGCTCTAAATACAGTCATAATCCTTGACAAGCCTTAGTAATAATTGAAAAACTAAGAAATCTAAGAGGTCAGCACCACTGAATGTGAACAAAATAGACTTAATTAATTATTGTTGCCCGTCAAAGATAATGACAGTAATGTTATCGCATTCATATAAATACTAAGGAGGGACTTATTGTACTTCACAAGGACGAGTCCTATAAAAAACAGTGAAACTCGGTATCCTTTTTAAAAATTGGACATCAGATAGTAATTTTCAAGTTCTGAGGCTTATCATAAGGAAATTACTTGTCAAAAAAGCCTTTATAAAATCATCAACCTTCATGGGTTTTTAGGAAGCTTTATAGGAAACTGACACTCGGTGTCAGGAAAAGGTTTCACTGGGTGCTAAGAGATGCATAACTCAGAAACATTGCACAAGACTAGGGAGGGCTGCAGATTTCATATTCTGCATCCTTTGACAGTTAGCCAAGTTGACAAAACTGTGAAATATATAACTGATACATACATGTTTGGGCACATTTCTTTTTTCGGACTTGGGATTTTCTTTGGAAAAAACCTCTTCATCTTTAGTAATCAAAGGTACATTACAATCCTCATCCTCAAAATCATCACTGTAGTTTTCTGCAGAAAATAAGATTTTAAAAGTTTTTAAATACCTGATGAAAAAAAGTCAAAATCCAGAGAAAGATTGTTAATTTCCAGAAAAGAAAGTCTGCAGAGCAATAATTTTCCAAAATTATTGGCATAATGATTGACACCTTTATTTACACCATGATCATTTCTTTGGAAAACGTTAATAAGCATTCGGTTCACGAGGTCACTTTAGAGTTTTTGTTGTCTTGCATTTTTAAGTAGTTCTAATAGTTTTACATTTTAAATCACCCCTCTCCCAACAAACTAGACAGTAGTGTCTCTTTAAGCAATTCTTAGTTGCTCAGATTATAATTTAGATATCTCCCTCTTCCTGTTCAAAACTATATTCAATGTTATATGACTTTCCTTTTTATTATTTCTCTATTACAAATGGTTTTATCACCAACATTTAAAATTCTGTATCTTAGTAAATAGTATAGATTTAAAAACCCATCAAATTACCTGCCAGTTCTTCATGTTCACTCTCATGTTCATTTTCACTTAATTTTACATGGGCTTGATTGCTAGAAAAAATATTTAATAATATTACATGTCGGTACACTTTCACAATCTTTTATATATATAATTTTAAATTATTAAAATCTTCTATTTCTTCTCCAATCCTCTTGCTGTATCAAAAATTAAATATCTAGGTGTTAACAGGATAATGTTTGAAAAGTAAAGGATATTTAAAGCTAGAGACTAATGGTAGCTGTCAAATACAAAGAAAAAAATGCCAGAATTCTAAATTTTATACATAAATAGTTTCATACACAAATAAATGCATTTACATGAACACCTATTACCTTCTGCTTCAGGTACTTCTATACAAAAGATAAGGAATATCCCACAATCTCTGAGAACCAGTTAAGACCAAGTGGAGGCCATAAATGGCACCAAGCTTAATATTTACACAACACTCTGCAATTTAAGGACTTCCAGTGGCACAGCGGGTTAGGTGAGGGGCTGCTAATTGGAAGATCAGCAGTTCAAACCTATGAACCACTCCATGTGGCAGTCTGTTTCTATAAAGATCGGAACCTAGTCTATGGGGACAGTTCTACTTTGTCCTAGAGGGCTGCTATGGAATCGGAAGCAACTCATTGGCTATGGGTTTGGTCATATCTCGCACACCTTGATTTTAGTGAGATCAATAGCAGACCCAAGAAACGACACAACAATGGCAGTAAGAACAACAGCAACAGTAAACATAGCTATTGCATACTGAATGTTATGCTGTACTCGAACCATCCTCTTTTACAGCAGAAACAACAGTGGCACATTGGGGGCGGGGGAGGTAACATCGTGGCCAGTACACTCGGGCATGCTGAATCTGTGCTGTTACTGTTGGGAGAGCGCCCTGGCCTGTTCTTGTTGGATATGCTAAGAATGCAAGACCCTGACTGCTCTCTTCTAGAGCATTTCTCAGGACTGTGTATTCTGTGAAAATTACCTTCAAGGATGAGGTAATACTTCGAATCACACAAAGAACAGGCTTGCTTCCACTGGCATGAAAGCAGATTTCCCAAGCTCAGTGTTCCTCTCCTGTAGCACAACCCACTGCAAGTACAGAGAGCCATTAGGACCCTTTGTGTCACACTGTGGCACTTGAGAGAGGGCTTGGGGAACCAATGCAGATAAATATGACGCTTCGCTCCAGCTTTTGTCATCAGAAACGTGGTCCTTTGCCTTTGACCAAGGCCGCGTGCATCTATTGGCAATAACCATAAAACTGGCAGGCTAGCTGGTTAGGTTGTAAGTAAGGTAAAAAGCTTAAGTTATGATTCTTCTGACCCTTAGCTTAATTATACTTCTATGTTCTCAAAATCCTAAATAAAATGGTAGTCTGATTTCCATTTGCAACTAAAAAAAACTAAAACACTTTGGGGATAACTGAGGAAAGTAAAGGTCTTGAGAATATCAAAGGTCTACTATGCTTAGGACCAGTTTACTCAACTGGCAGAGTTTCCAGGATAAGTGAGGTTTCTTAACAACCATCAGGATCAACTATTCTCAAGGTGAGATGCAAGCCAAAGATATTTCTGCTCCTTGGCTCCCCTTTCCTTTTGTCAAAATTAATTAACAGTTATCTGGACTGTCAGGAGTCCTGGTGGCATAGTAGTTACAAATTGGCTGTGATGTGTAAAGTCAGGAGTTCAAAACCACCAGTTGATCCACGGAGAAAGGCAAAGCTCTCTACTTCCATAAAGAGTTACAGTCTCGGAAACTCACAAGGTAGTTCTGTCGCATATAAGGTCACTATGAGTTGGCATCGACTTAATGGTATTGAGTTCAGTTGTAGTTATCTGGGCTCTCAGGAGTCCTGGTGGTGTTACATATTGGGCTGCTAACCACAAGGTAAGCAGTTCAAATCCTCTAGCTGCTCAAAAGGAGAAGGCTGGAGCTTTTAGCTCTGGTGAAGATTTACAGCCCCAGAAAACCCCAGGGGCCGTTCTACTCTGTCCTACGGGCTCACTATGAGTCAGTATCCACTTGATGGCAGTGACTCCTACCACTAAAGTCGTATCTGGACTCTTTTTTCCACATGTGGAAAATAATTTACTAAATTACTTTCCTATTAAGGTCTTGCTGCTAATATGTTATATGCTCAATAAGATTGCATGTAGGAAATTTCAGTTATCTGAAGGCAGAATGGGTTATCAAATGTAATTCAACATATACCATTCATGTATAAGAAGACCCTGATTAAAATGACAAACTGAAAACAGAGTTAAAAAATAAGATTGAATGTTTTCCTGATTCATTTAAGTCCATGCACACCCCAGTCTTCCAAAAATAGAAAAAAAAGACCTAAATCCTTTAAGTTAAAAAATTAGTTTAGATTATATTTACATACCTAAGTAAAGCTTTAAAATGTGTAGAGTCATTAGAATCCAATTCTTTATTCAATCTTGAATAATCAACAGACGATGTTAGGCCTTTCTCAAGCCTGGCAAAAAATTGTTCTTTTTCTTCTTGCTCTTCTAATGTGTCCAATCCCAATCCCAGAATACTCTGATTGAACTCAGAAACAACGAGCTCTAAGTGGAAAGCACAAATATATTTTATAAACATATGGAATTTTGGTAAATTTCATTATAATGATACATATATTAATATTCGGAGCCCTGGTGGTGCTGTTGGATAAGTGTGGACAGCTACCACAAGGTTGGCGGTTCAAATCCACAGAAGAGGTTATCTCCTCCCAGATTTGCAGCTTCAGAAACTCATAGGGTCTCTATGAGTTAGAATCGACTCGACAGCAGTGGGTCATACACTGATTATATAGTAAACAAAACATCTTTTTAAGATAGACTGTTCCCTCTACCTGCCAGATCTAGATTTATAATCAAAATCAATTTGTTAGGTCATCAGGCTTTCTCTAAAGGTCTAATTTTGATTTTAAACCTTTGAGGAAAGTGTTAAATCTTTCTACATGGTTTACCAAAGGAGACTCTGGATAGTTGAATTAATTTTTTTAAACCTTGGATATATAACCACAGTGATTATAAACCTATCCACTAATACCACTTACATTTCTTACCATTTGTTTCTAAGCTGTCAATACTTAAGACTGACGTTCCACTGCTCTTAAGAAATTCTATCTTTTCACCAGACTCCTCTTCTTTTTCCACAACAGGTTGAGATGTCTTCTTTGTTTTCATATAGCTTACACTTGTTCCAAGCAGTCCTAGGAATGGGATTTAATAGCTTAAGATTTATGTTCAGAAAATTATTCTAACCAAATGCTAACACAATACTATACTAGTACTATAGTATACTATAATATATATGTTGTATAATATATTACATTATACAATGTTATAGATATTGTATACTACAATATACATTATAGTATACTATAGTAATACTATACTATTATTGTAATTTTGTGTAAATTGTTACATGAGAGAAAAATCTGCTCTAGTAAATGAAAATCACCATACTTAAAACCAGCCAAAGGGAAATGTCAGTCATGTAAGTATAGTGTCTCTTACACTTGATCTTAGCCAAAAGGCCGAGAAGCAATATATAGTGTCTCTTATTAAACAGTTTAAGAATGAGTACAATGAATAAGACTTGTCTAAATAGTTTGAAGCACGGGGACTTAACATAGTATATTACACCACTTTAAAGAACATCTTCTGCCTTAATTTCTGAGGTTACCTAGTGCATTCTTGTTGCCAAACTCTTAACACTATTGGAAATATTGTGGGTGGCATGAAGGGGCATGGGTATGAGCCAGGATGGTATGAACCAGCATAGGTAAAATTTAGGATAATGAAGGAGAGTAAAAAGACAATGTTATTTCAAGAAAATGGAAGCAAAAATTAAAAGGTGTTTCAATGTCACTGTGTCCCAACCACTGCGAACACTGACTGGAGAAGTGATCCTCCCACCAGTACATGTGGGTGACTCGGGGGGAAGGGGAGGCTACCACAGGCTCTCTCACCGCATTGTGGAATTTGGATTTTTCTCTAAAGCTAATACTAAACATGTTTAAAATATTTCATGACTGACTAGCTATCCAATGATATTAAAGAATGTTTCAAGGATAATAGAATTATGGTTCTATTTTAAGAAGAAAGCTCTTGTCTGTAAGAGATACGTTTTGCAATATTGGGAGTGGTATGCTGTCAAAGATGTGCTTCAGTATAATCCAGTATATACAAGAAACAAGATTGGTCATGAATGAATCATTGTAATAGCTAGGCAACGTGCATATGGGGGAATATTTTACCTTTTCTACTCTAATGGTTTGAAATCGTCTTACCATATTTTATAGATTTGCTGAAATCTGCCCTGTGCGAGGACACAGGGATAAACATTGCCAGAATGTCTTATAAATCCTATTTATATGGTAACATACAAATATATGTAAATTACTCATCATCGTGATTTGAGTAAATATATATTACCTCAATGTACAGCAACATAATAATGTAGAAACAAATTCTCAATTCCATATACATTTAACAAAGTGAAGTAACATGAAAATCAGTTCAAACCTTAAAAGTCTGCACTATGAGTGTTTTTCCTTAATATTTTTATACTGCAGTATAAGATTCAGAATTAAAAATCTTGACTGACCTCTTGTGGTCAAATACTTTGAAACTTAAAAAACAACAACAAAAAACCACAATGTTTATTTACCCTCTTCTTCAAAAGCATCTCCAGGGATCCACCATGGGACTGCATCTTTCTTCTTCTCTCCTTTAGTCTGCTTTGGTGTTTTGTTTGAATTTTCAAAGGAATCATCTGAAAGCTGAATCAGATACAAGCCACTGAATTCTAAAATACATTTAAAATTATTAGATAATCCCAGATTCATGTCTAAAAATGATTCTATTAGTACTGAGCTCGGATATCACATATACAACCTATTCTCAAATTGTAAAGTGTATATGACTAATATAACCTAAAAATCAAACATTTATCTCTGATCATATACTTTATATCCACAAATAGGTACGCTCCTCTGGAAGAACAACAAATAACAAAAGAAATAAAATCTGATCAAGCTACAAAAATTGAAGAAAGAAAAAACATAACTATCCCATAATTCTCTACATTTTCTAAAGTCTGAAGATAAATGATGATTGGTCAAACTTACCCAGGACTACTCTAGAAGAACATGAAGAAGTGGAGGTTCGGGGCTAGAAAGGATGATCGTGTTTAGCAGTGGAATGAGTACTTTCTTATAATGGATAAGCTCAATAACATCTTAAGAAAATCCAGAGTTCTTTTGTATATGTGTGTACAGAAGATTTAATGTGTACTTATATATAGCTTCAATATT